GTGGAAGTGGACCCCAGGGAGAGAAAGAACACGCTGTGGGGTAAAGAGCAGGCTGAGGGAGGTGGCAGCGATGGCTTTGTCTTGGGATGTGCGGGGTTCGTAAATGAAAAACTGCCCTTGACAAACGTGGCTGTGTTCAGCCTCAGGCCTCCTGTGGAGACTGAGGCCCTGTGGCTTGTGGGGCACACAGCCTGGTGCCACCGTGCTCATGGCTGAGGTAGGAGGGGAGGTGCTGACAGGAAGCCAGGGGTCCTGGGACAGGCCTGGGGTGGGGCTGGGGAGGGGGGATCAGGGGAAGTCAGGAGGAAGGTTTTGAAATCACTGGTAGTGATTTGGGCTCCTATACCCCTTAGAGAACTTCCCCCCAGCACGTCAGTCAGGCACATACCTCTGTAGTTTTGAAAAGACAGTGACCCAAACACAGCCAGAGCCCAGCAGCTTGGCCCAGAGACAGTTCAAGTGGCTGATTTCACTAATCCTGCCCCGTGCAGGCTCTGTGCTGAGCAGCTCACATTCAGTAACTCATTCAATCCCGATGGCCACCCAAGGGGAGAACATCTGGTAATGGCCCCATTTTACCAATGAGGAAACAGAGGCTCAGAGAGGGTGAGGAGTTTGCCCAGAGTCACAGAGCTGTTACATGGAGGAGCCAGGATAAACTCAAGGAACCTGGCTGCTGAACCAAGCCCAGAGTCCATCATGAGTTCCAGCAGCTGGATGGCATGTCCTCGCTAAATCTGGAATCTGGCGAGGGCCTGCTTCCAAAGTAGCCGCAGAGGTATGGGCCTGAGCTTCAGCTGTGTCTGTGAGTTACACTCCGAGTGAGTCTAGGGCCTGTTGGAGAATAAATACAGACAAATGTACAGCTTTCCTTTCAGTCAACAATAACCATTTAAAAAATATGATGGGGAAAAAAGTCTCATTCCATTCATTTTTTAAATTGAAATATGGTCGATTTACAATGATGTGTTAATTTCTGGTGTACAGCATAGTGATTCATTTATACATATATATATATATTCCTTTTCATATTCTTTTTCATTATAGGTTATTACAAGTTATTGAATATAGTCCCCTGTGCTGTACAGTAGGACCTTGTTTTAATCTATTTTATATTTAGTAGTTTGTAGCTGTAAATCCAGAGCTCCCAATTTATCCCTCCCCACTGTCTCATTTCATTCTTAATGACATCAAAAGTTCAACATAATAAAATTAAAAATCTTTCTCAAATTAATTTTTTTCCAAATAATATCCCAAGAATGTTTTCTTGAAACTTGACAGAGTTTGGGTTTCATCTGGCAAACAAATAGCCAAAAATATTTTTTAAAGAAAAATGACATGGGAAAACTTTCACTACTTGATGATAAAGTATATTATAAAGTGACTATAGTTTAAGTGGGAATAGAGCCAGAATTAACAAAGATGAATGAAACAGAGTTGGTACTCACCAAACAAAATTCACTTACATAGAAAAATTTAATGTATTATAAGCATAGCATTTCAAATTCTAGGGGAAATGGTTTTTTAAAAATAAGTGATGCTGGCCTTCCAATCTGTAAAAGATATTTTAAACAAAAGGAAAAGTGACACAAATCATTTTGGAGATGCTGCACTTCAGAGCGGACTCTCCCTTTGGGTGAGCCTGAAAGCCACCACCGCTCGTTCATTGCGAGAAGAGATCTGGCCCTGGAGTAAACCATGGTTTCTGATGCTGGAGCAGCTGGGCTCAGGCCCAAGCACTGCCACTTATCAGCTAAGCCCTTTAGGTGTGTTCCTGGATCTGTTTCCTCGTCTGTAAAATGTGCACAGTGCTGGTGCCCCCAGCGTGGGGTATCGTATTAAATGCAATGGTATTGGGTTCTTGGCAAATCAGTAAACTCTCACGAAATGCTACCAAGATCCCCCAGCTTTCATGCTTCGCCAGACTTTTGCATTCATAAAGAGCTTGTTTTCAGAATTTTCATGGGATGCACATGGGACCCCAGATGTTGGATTCTGCTCAGTAGCATTGATTCATCCTGGGGACTGCCAGCTTGGGGACGGGGCCAGGTGGAGAATGTGGCAGAGAGCTGGCTCCAGACCCTGGGATGGCGACGGAGGAGCTGGCTCCCCCTTCGGAGGCGAAATTCACCCTTCAGTTAGAGTGCTTTCCCCTAGATAACAGCGTAAACGTGGAGGGCAGCCAGGACTTCCATTTTAAGACCGTAAGTGGCAAGTTTGGTCCTGAAACCCCATCATAACTCTTATCTGAAATTGCAGGGTACTCACCATCTAAAAATATGCAGCTCAGCTTGGCCATGTTGCAAAAATGCCTCTGTACTGACCATAAAAATGGCAACATGCAGAGGATGCTTAAGAAAATGAAAGCCCAGAGTCTCTTGCAGGGAAGCTGGGAGCCACGTTCAGAAAGACATGGCTCTGGATTCTGAGGACGGATGGCCCTGAGGCTCCAGGATGAGTGTGGGGTTTCCCTTCCTCTTGCTGAGTCCATGTGAAATTTGGTTGCATTATTTGGCCAATTGTCTGCATAAACTTTTTTCTCTCTCTTTGTCTTTTTTTTTTGTTGAAGCAAAAGAGTAGTGATGCTGGATTGTTTTGCTACTTTATTTACCATTTAATTTTAGTGACCGCCTCCACCAGTGCTCTGAGTGTCAAAGACAGGTTCGAGATAAAAATGACAAGCTTCCCCATATAGCTAAGAGCACGGCGCCGTCAAAGACAACGATGCCTGGGGATAATTTTCCGGGAAGGATGCTCAGCTCTGTAGCAGGCTCAGAGGGATGGAAGGAGCTTTGGCTTAGAGCCGAGAGACCCGAGTCTATCTCTGGCTTGGTCACTGTCCGTCCAGCCACCAGCTTCCCAAGAGAAAGGGGAAATGAGAGCCTTGGTCCCAAAGGTGACCCGGGCCGCACATCACATACCACGTAACAAGCACTGATAAGCCTCTTATTATCATGCTCTTATTGTCTGTTTTTTTCATTATAACAACTGCATTACAATCTTTGTCTTGTCTTTTCAAGTTCTCTCCCATTCTACTGTGAGCCGCTCCATAGAAACACCCAGGCTTTTGTTGGTTGGTTTATTTTGTTTTGCTTTTTGCCTCTGTATACCTAGGCTTGAACACAGAGCTTGCTTCCTAAAAACAAACAAACAAACAAACAAACACTATTAATAAGTCGCTGTAGAATGGAGAGATGGATAAAGAAATGGAGTCACATGAGAATGGAGACTACCAGGAGGGTGCTCTGGGGCTGTGCTTTGGAGGCACTGGGGGCCGCCCCACTGACTGTCCCCTGCTTTCCCTCCTAGTTGCTCTGGACTCCTGGCAGTCCCTGGCCCTCTCTTCAGCAGTTGTGGATCCGTTCATCAGGAGCTTTGATGTTGCGCACATCAGCACGGCTGCCATGGGTGACTTCTCTGCTGCACGGGACCGCTGTTTGTTGGGTAAGGGGAGTTTCCACCCTCCAGGGAGTTGGGTTTCTTGAGCAGGGACCCTCTGCTGCTCAATATTCTGCCCTCAGAAACACATAAGAGACCTCAAGATAACCTGGGATGCCTAGCTGGAAGGAATGCACCTGGGAGAGAAGCCCTGGGTGGGCTCTCCTCTGCAGTCCCCTCATCCTCCTGCAGTGTTGGCCCATGGTCATGGTCTCTAAGGGGATAAGCCAGCCGGAAAATGAACAGCATTGAGCCAGGTCAGGGACAGATCCCAGGAAAGATCTAGGGGGTTAGTCTGAGACAGAGAAGATGCTGTGACATCTATTCTCAGATTAATCTGAGAGCCATCCTGGCGAGGAGGAAGTACATGGTACTGGGTGAGGAGGAAAGATATAGTTCTGGCCAGGTTCAAGGAGCAAAGAGAAGACCTATGGGTAAAACTCAAATTTCAAGAGACATTTTTCAGTGCAATGTGAAGAATTTTCTAATAAGTAAAGCTGTCCACAGATGTATACTTCCTTTAGAGGGTTTTGGTTACTGGTATTTAAACAAAAGCTAAGTGACCACATCATCAGAATGTTCTACAAAGGCTTTATCTTTGGAAAGAGACTGAGGCTAGATAACATTTACACGTCTCTAATTCTGAGATTCCAGGAATCTTCTCTACGTGATTGGATGACAATACACATGTATTACAGACAGGGCCACCATGTACAGCTGTACAGGCTGTACACTGTCCAACTCTGCTTGGTGCCAAAGCACAGAGACTGGGCTAGTAATAAGGCCTTTATACAGTACACAGCTTGCTCAATCAAATGTAGTGGCACTATTTTGAGAGCTGTTCTTAGAACTGAAGACCCTAATGCCATGAATCATTTAAATTGTCTAGTGCAGGACCTAGCATACATGGGGAAAGATATAACTCCTGATGGAACATGGTGGGTATGATGGGGAGAGGGGCAGAGGGAGAAGAAGCTGAAGAGAAAGGCAAGGGTTGGAGCATGGAGAGCCTAGTCTTGTATGATTTAATGCTGAGGTCAGTGGGGAGCCATGGAGGTGCTTTAAACAGGGGAATGACAACTTATATTGTCTGTGATATTTATGAATAAATAAACAACCAAAATCCTGACTATTATGTGGAAAATAGACTGATGGGAGGGTTGAGTGCCCCCTGCCCAATAACAACCACTATTTTATCCTCAGCTCCTAACACTTTCAGGTGCTTAAATGAAGTGAGTAGGTGCATGGATGGATGGATGGATGCATGCATGCATGCATAATTGGATGGATGGATGGACGGGTGGATGGTGCATGGATTTGTGGATGTGTGACTGGATGCATGACTAGAAGCATGGATGCCTGACTGAGGTGAGATTTCCAAGGCCCAAGCATCACTGCCCTCCCCCTGCCCTGCAGAGTGTTCCCGTCACCAGGCCTGCCTCGTCACCACTCTGCAGACCCGACCTGGTGCTGTCAGGTGTCTGTTCTATGCTGATACCCAGAGCTGCACACACAGCCTGCAGGCCCAGAACTGCCAGCTTTTGCTCCGTGAAGCAGCCTCGCACATCTACAGGAAACCAAGTAAGTGCCGGCCTGGCTTTGCAGCCGCCCCTCAGGGCCTGGGTGTGGCTGGGGGGACTGTCCAAGCATGTGGTGACTTGTGGCTTTTGAGGCTCTTAAGGGAAAGTTAGTCAAAGTCATCCTAGGCTGTGTGGCAGTCACATGGGATGCTCTGCAGGAAGATGAAAAACCCTACTTCTGACCTAGAATTTCTCTGCACCGCCTTCATTCATCCCCTCCTTTCAGTCATAGAAGCCATTTTAGCCTTTGAGTTTCTGAGTAAACGAATTAAGTCGGCCACTTTTGATGACCGTTTTCTAGTTTAGAAAATTGTTTCACATACCTCACCATCTCCTTTGATCCTCACGCTGTCCTGTGAGCTGGCGAGATAAGGGTTCTATCCCCGTCTCAGAGCTCAGGAGACTCCGGTCCAGAGAAGTTAAGTTACTTCTCTAATTTCACACAGCTAGTGATGACTGAACAGGGACTTGGAGCCAGGTCTCCTGTCTCCAGCTGCAATCCTCTTGCACAAAACCTCATTGCCTGAGGACCACATCACTGTTGCTGGAGAGGGCAGCTGCTCCTGGCTCAGTTGAGTTTAAAAACATTCAAGAAGGTACTATTATGTCTCAGCCCTCGTGTTGGGGGGACCCAGGGGTGAAGCAGGCGAGGGGAGAACAACATAGAAATAAATGCACCCCTGAATGAGATGGGTGAGCACTGTGGGGTTGGAAACGTGGGAGCCAGGTGCCTGGGGGTCGCACCTCCCCCATCAGACATGCTTATGGGATGAAATGAATAACTTCTGAGAAATGCTGGCTGTGTCCGCTGTCTTATCTTCAAGAGCAGATGTCGGCAAACTCCCTCTGTAAAGGGCCAAATAATAAATATTTTAGGCTTTACAGCCACAGTTCTCTGTTACAGCTACTCAACTCTGCTGTGGTAGTGAGAAAGTGGCCTCAGATGATAATACATCTGTGGACGTGGCTGTGTGCCAATAAAACTTTATTTACAAAACCAGGTAGCAGCAGGGTGTGGCCCCACCCTGTCCTAGAGCATTACACGTCCTTCAGGCCTGTCTGGATCCAGTGATATCTTCTCTGCCCCCTCCTCCACCTCAGCTCTAGATCAGGAGAGTGTCTCGCAGGCCTGGAAGTGCTTTGATTCCTATATGCTGAGGTCTTGGGCCCTTAATCTCAAGTCTTGCCTTCTCTCAGGACATTTAGATCATTTAGTCAAGTTAGATAGATAAATTTCATCCATAGTGTAGCTAATCTGCATGGTAGTCCTGCTGAGAAAAGCCTTCAAAAGGTCTGAGTTCTGTAAAACCAATCAGACCGCTTCTCTCTTAAGTTGGTGTGACTCAAATTCAATGTGAAAGGCTCCTTCCGGCAGGAGATGCAGGCCCACGTGCATCTGCGTCGACGCTGTTTGCACCTGTTGTACACCCAGAGCTACAGATAGTTTTGTCAGCTGTCACATGGCCTAAATATGTGGGTATTCTGGAAAGAATCCACCTTTCTGCAAAAGATTTCAAAAGGGAGAAACACACATCAAATATTTTCTACAGTTGGCTCTTGTTCAGTCTGGGATTCACGGGGCAGCCTCTGGAGGGCGGGGCGAGTCCTGCTGTTGTGGGAAAGCAGACTTGCATTCCCTCGACATTCCTTAGCTTTTACATCTTCTGTCCTTGCTCCCTCCTTCAGAGGGTGCCACGTCCATGAAATGCGGCTGTTCCCTGCGGAGTGAAAGAGCTGGCCTCAGAAGTTTCTGCTCCTGCAGCCCCCACAGTCCTGAATGCTGCACCCCTCCCCCAGAGCCTGTGATTTATTTACAGCTGAGACAGGAAATCTTATGAGAAGGAACTGTGGGGGTGAGAGCAGTCGTGATTTGTGATTGAGGCCAGATTAAAAAGCAGCAACTATTTCTCTCCATCCTGAGTTTCCGTTTTGAGTTCCCGCTCACGTGCCAGTCAGAGAAGGCTTCACTCACTGTTTCCTTCCCTCCTTTCTCTCCACCTGCCTACCTTTCTGTTTTCCTTCCTTCCTTCCCTTCCTCTTTCTCATCCATTCATTCATTCGTGTGTGGATCTCTTGCCATTTGCTTGGGACATTACAGGCATCATGTTATTTATTCCCAACATCTTTATGCTGTAGGGGCAGCTACGGCTCCTATTTTGCAGTTAGGAAAATTGAGGGTCAGAAAAATTATAAAGTTTTTCCAAAGTAGCTGGTCCACAACATAAACCACAGGTCTGCTTGACTCTTCAGACCATCCACTGCCTCCTCCTCACCACGCTGACCCTCAGTGGCCTGGAAGTTTTGAATGTACATCATCCTGGGGGCCTCAGCCCCGCCGCCACTGACCTCTGTGACTGGGTGACTTTGCTGTGGGGACCTAGCTTATCTATTGTAGGATTTTCGCAGCATCGCTGACCTCTGCGCTACCAGATGCCAATAGCTAGTATCTCTCCCCAACCCTTGTGACAACCGAAAATGTCTCCAGATGTTGTCAAATGTCTCCTGGGATCAAAACCATCTCCAGCTGAACCACTGCACTGAACCAAGTTCTTGAGGAATGGATAGACTGCCTGTCTGTCTGTCTGTCTGCCTCCTCTCCCAGGCTCCAGCTTAGTCACCATATATGTGCATTTTAAATAGAAAGAGCTGCAAAGATGTTTCTCCCCATCAGCCCACAGTAAAGCAGAGCACACCGAGCACACCTGCTGGACACACACACACATTCACACACATACACACACAGACACACACACACAAATCATACATACACACATACACACATATACACACACACATACACACACACACACATACACACACACACATACACACATACACACACATACATACACACACATACACACACACATACAC